TGATTGACGTGCAGTGCGGACGGTGCGACACAATATAAAAGATAAAATTGTAATGTTTTTTAAGATAAAACAAAAAACAAATATATTTTTTCAATTTTAATTWTATTTTAACCTCATTTTTWAAAAATCTAAATCATTTCAATTTTTAATTACACGCGCACACACATAAATAAACAATCCATTTTTAATCATACCCGTGGAATTCACGGACAGTCCCGAGTCTGTCAAAATAAGAGGGAAAATGGATTGATGAAATACAGCATCCCAGGGTATTCAAAATAAATAATTAAAAAATGGTTGCCCAAACGCATTACAATGTTTTAAAATCACTCGCCCAAACGCATTATGCTGAATTGCCCAAACACATTGCAATTTTTAAAAATTCGCCCAAACGCGTGACGCCCAACTGAGAACTATATGAGGGGCGATAACAAACAAGTAGGTACCGTAAAAACAATTAACACATTTACACATTAAATCATATAGGTGACTGTCTTAGTGTATTAAAGTGTCAACAGTGAACAGGGCAAATAATATTTTTCATTTACCTAAGCATTAATAAATTAATACGAATAAAAGTGGGACCTAAAGAATGAATGTTACGTATACACAGGGAATTTCCAGTAGGTAACAAAAACGTACTTTACGTACTCTACATTATACCAACATATTTTTATATTTAATTTAAATAAAAGTATAACAAAATTTGTAAATGAAATATTTTTATCAGGATTTGGAATTTTCATTTTTTTTCATTTCTCCTCGGTTTTTTTTTTTTTTACTGACTGCCCACGCGAATAATTGGAAAAGTCCCATCACGAAACATAATGAAAAAGGTACTTTTCATTATTTTATAATATGGATTATGTACGAATACGACTGTCGAGTACGCGCGACGGCATTCGTTCAAATATYATATAAACTAAAAAACTATATTATTCTACATTATTATTAATTACGAGCATGTTGTAAAGTCTCACGTGCGAGTGTTGTGTGGTTGTCTCCAAATAATACAAATTTGCGTCCAGCCTTCAGCAGGACCAATTTAGTATTGTTAAAAATTATAAGTGATACATTTGGAGGGAAGAGGTCCATAGGCGGAAATTCATTGAAAAAATGGAGGAAGGTCTGCAAAAAAAAACAGTTTTAAGAGGACTCGCATGTGTTGTCTCCGCACTCTCCGTCTTACAAGTGCATAACATACCAAATTATACGCTCAGCAAATCACGTTTAGCTCCGTTAGTTTAAAATTTATAGTGAATTGAGTATTGACCTCTTATAAAAAATATTAAAGGTAACATTATTATCTAGAGCAGTGGTGGTGAAACTTTTTTGAGTCTAATGCCAAATTTTTGAAAACAAGGGTTTGATAATTTTTCACGTGCCCAAAGTTTGTAACTCTGTAAACACTAAATAGAAAGTATAAACAATGTAGTGATAATATAGTAACATGATCAATTTTACATATAGGAATATTATAACTTTTAAAATGTTTATAACATATTTCTTTGAATTTTTTAAAACAAAATTTAAAGAATASCATAATTTTTCTCAATTTTAATTTTTTCCGTACCATTGAAATTTGACGAACGCGTCACTTTTGGCACGCGTGATGCGTCATCTAGATTTTCTCATAGGCTTTTTATTATATTTGAATTTTAAAGCAAGTTATKAGCATTTAAGATATACAAACAAATTACAATTTTAAAATACTCATAACTCGCTTTAAAATTAAAATATAATAAAAAGCCTAATGAGAAGCGCCAGATAATAATGTTACCTTTAATATTTATAATACRKCGTCAATTCACTTTAAATTTTAAACTAAATGAGCTAAACGTCATCTGCTGAGCGTACAGTTTTCTATGTTACGCACTTGTAAGTTGTAAGACTGATCAACACATGGAGGTGTAGCGTCATCTAAATCAGTAACACCTAATGGTCCTAATGCTACAGAGTACAGATAAGGTTGAGCAAGAAACTCAAAAAGGAGYATTGAGATACTAAATACAAGATACTTTGCTTTGGAGTATTGCGATACTACCTAGATACTCGATACTTGCAGGCTTTGGAATATCGCGATACTAGATACTCGATACATTTCAATAAAATTAGTCACTGGATTTTTAAAAATTATGGGGATGAGCACTTTATTAAGTAATTAGAATGACAAATAAAATAATAAAAACTAACATTTATTCAGTAATAATAATACATTAGTAATAAAACAAATCAATCGTGTTCATTACCTACTTTATCGTGAAAGGTACACAACTTTAGAACAGCTAACAAGGTAATAGTTCAAAATCGATTATGATGAACGCAAAATTTAATATGCTTTGTGTTTGTWATAACTACGGACAAAACATAATGTGGGTGACATTACTAAATCTTCTAAAGGCAGGAATATTATCTCTGCTCTCCGTTTCTYTARTCTGTTTTTAACGTTAGTTAAAACAAAAGTAATGTTTACCCAATTTTTATATGAATTGTGAATGGTTATAAATATTTAAAAATACTTTACATAGGTACTTATAACTTACTCATAACTTGCTTAAAAATTAAAATATAATAAAATTTCAATTAGTGAACATATAAATATTTTTTTCTTTTGGATAATTTAATAGTTCACTCTAATATTTAAAAGAACAACACAAAATTGGAACAGCTGAATCCAACCCGAATGTAAATKTTGGTATGTCATAAACAAGTAATTCAAATACAACACAATAATAATATGCTACCTGCAGACCGCAAGAGGTACAACCTCCTCACAAAATATGAGAATTAAAGARCAGGTAAAAGTTACGTTAAAAGATAAAAATTATATATTAATATATTATATATTAATAAAAGTTATATCAATAGATTCCTTGAGACTTGAATGGTATTTTAATATTATTAGCTTATTTTTCCAACCCCTATAATAGGTTGCTATAGCTTGTAAGGTGACTTAGTACAATTGTACACAAATTTAGTTTTTAGCTTACGAAAAAAAATATTGTTTTTGTTTGCTTAATGAGTTGCCGTTGGTTTCAAATAATAATAATAATTTTGGCATGGGGCAACTCCAAGCAGGTTAATAACATATAAAAAACAATAGTTGTCAAAAATAATATGTTTTTACCACAAATGGTTGTATGACAATTTTTATCATGGTTACAAACTAAACTTAGGTCATATTTTTTACGAAATATAATATTTTAATAGTATGAGTATATGATATAAAAGAAATAATTTTGATATACTAATAATGCATAGTGAATTTATTGTAACTTAAAAATAAATATTAATAATATCTAGTCTTTGACAATTTTAAATTAATCATAAATGACACAATGATAATACCAATAATATATTATACTAACTTAATTACTTAAAGTAAACATTAAATCACACATATCTATTTTGATTTCAAAACTGTTTACATTATTCAATGTGTATTTTAGAACATGAGTGATTAGGAATTATTACTTTATTTGAGTTATTTTTTTACAAGAATATAAAATACAAATTAGTTTTTTGATTTGTCGTACTTGTTTAATTTAAATTATAAAAAAATGTATGCACACTTGGCATTAATACATAGACAATGTTTAAATATGTTTCAAGTGTAATGATTGAACAATGACTTATATTTGAAGGAGTAATCGAATTTAACATCATACAATTGTTTAACTTGAAAAAAAATTTAAATGTCAAGATTTCATATTGAAATTTGTCTTAGAAATCAATACATTCATTCTTATAAATTAATTAAGTGTAATATTAAAAATACCATTATAAAAWTATTGWGAAATATGTTTAAAAAAAAAGTTTACAGTTGATAATTTAAATTCACAATTATTTAGACTAAAGGATAACTGGCACTGGATGCAACACCACAGTTGTTTTTCTTGTTACGTGCCATCATTATATAACCTTCAGCTCCCCAATTCTTGCCCCATGAATTTTTAACAATCCAGTAGTCACCTCCTTTCTTATCGCTACCGTAACCAACAGCAAGCACACCATGGTCCAGTTCTGTGGAACTACAATGAGGATTGTAAAATACCCCCTTTTTATAGAATTGGAATTTCTCTGATGAAGCATCAATAGCAATAGACACTGGCCCAACAGTAGCCAAAGCATGCATCAGGGCTTCTTCATCACCTTCAGGTATATCTACAAAACCTTTGTCAGTGGCACCAGAGTTTTCGGGGTTGTAACGACACTTGTCATCCTAAATAAAATTTCAAATAAATATTGTTGGTAATTTATCAAAGAAACTTTTAAATATCTTACCTCGGCTTCATATGGGTAAGATTTTTCAGTATCAAGTCCCTTATTAGATTTGATGTACTTGAAAGCATTATCCATAAGACCACCTTCACACCCGTTGTTACCGTATTTACGAGAACAATCAATAAGGTTCTGCTCACTCAAAGATACTAGCACACCAGTTTTGCGGAAATGTTGTCCTTCTAATGCTCCAGTCTGTAATTACATGATAATATAATAACATATCAATTACTATTAAGAATATTGTATAATAAATAGATACAAAATAAAAAAAGCGGGTAAGTCGTGTATGTCGCTCTGCTGTACAGTAGGTTACAAGTGGGTTACTGTAATGGATGGAATTAAATTTGAATCCAATGATATTATATCATTGTATACG